AATTAATTATGTAAACTCTGTTCTTGTTTATAACGTTGTCATCCAATTACGTATGAGTCATAACAAAGTCATAACAAATTATCACGTCTCAATTTACTGCGACCGATAGACCGAGGATATATTCAAAAGGGATTTAAAAAGAGTAAAGGCATTTGTCATTCAGGCTGTTTAACACCTGATAATAGTAATAAGAAAATAATACCTTTTTAGCAAATATTTCCTTATTGAGTGCATAATGATAACTATTGAAATATACTTGTAATTAGGTATACTAATCTTTAGCAATATTTAATATATAATGAAAAACGATAAAAGGAAAAAACAAATATATGTATACAAGACCACACACTTGCGTTTTTCTAACGAATCAGAAAGCATGAGTGAATATATACGTCCGCTAAATAAATGTGTGCTTTCTGATTCGTTAGAAAAACACAAGTGTGTGGTCTTGCTTTTATCACATACCTTCCGTATTTGGTAGAGATCGATACAAAGATTTTATAAACTTTGATATTTTTTTCAAATAGCGTGAACCTTTCAGTTCGCCATGACAAGGGGATTCCCATAAAAAGTAGTTCCGGCTAGTAGGTAAATACAAGTACAACATTCCGTATTGCACATGTGCAATACAGAACGTTGTATGTCATGGTCTGAAAATTAATTGTTTGTATTACTATAACAAGATTCACCAGATATGTGATAAATACTTTTTTTGTTTTGCTCATTTCATATTTCCTCTAAGCATGGTCATCAACAAATAGTATATACACTGAAATTATAAGTATTTAGAATTGCATGATAACTTTCTGGATTTTCGATACACTTATAACTATTTTCTGTTTAACACATTTTCCAAATGCGCTGATTAATAGAAACATCTATCCACTTTCTATTGTTTCATTTTTGTTTATTATTGATTTACATGTATCTCCAAAAAATATTTTTTAATATTTATAAATGTTATTTTCGGTATGAATTTTAATGTTTTAGAAAAAACATTTTAAATTCAAGTTCAGCGTGATTTTTCTGTATGCTTACCATGCTTTGAACAACTGTGCTCGAACGGAATGATAACGGAAATCACTTATTTTTTTTGGAATGACAGATTTTCTTGTAAAGTGTCATAGAGCTTCGATTGCATTCCCAAGTACCTCCTGAATCTAATCATAAAAATGTAATTAATGCATTGTTTTATATGAAATCGTGTCATTTGAAGTACAGCAACGAAAATGTATAAACGCAATAATAAAGTTTATCATAAAATATATTTTTGTAGTCATGTATATGCAAGTATGGTCAAGCGTAAAAATCTGGCTACATTGAAAGGATGTATGTTACTGTATATTTTAAGCGGCGAAATGCACCTCCTCCAAATAAAGTCCAAATATTCCTATACACATAATAATAAACTTGTATGTACAAAATTTATACTTTGTTAATTTATCATATAATTTAATAATAACAGATTTGACAAGAAGTGCTGCACACTTGAAATGGTCACAAGAAAATAAATTATGAGACATTTAAAAGGTGCAATACAATATTTAACAATGTGCACATGCATATTCAAACTATTCGAGGTGGGGTGATTTTTTAAGAATGGCACTGCAGATTTCTTCGGAAGCATGAGAAGCATCATTCCATACATAAAGTGTAAAGGAGACAACGGCTACACAAATCACACGCAATATTATACAATGTACCATAAATAGATCAATTACAATTAACCAGGGTGTTTAAAGAAGTACCACTCGCAAATGCTTACGACAGGACACCTGCCAGTATGCAGTACGATATAGGAAGATCACAAGCAGCTATCCCTGACCAGTAAATGTGACACTAGTAAGAAGGTACGTTAGTTAAAAAGTAATCTTTATATAATAACACATTGTAAATCTGTAGTCTTTGTTTGTAACGCTACTTTTGAAACAAGACAGAATTCTAAACAAATTGTGTAGCGATTCTTACAAAGACCAAACAACATATTGGCATGCAAAATAATGATTATAATACCAATAACATATATGTTTCGAAATCAAATTGATGATAGGTAATATTCTGTTATTTTTAGTTGAGATTTCCGTTATATTGTCAATTTCATTGATCATTGTATGTATTTCCTTGTTACGTATATACTAATCGAAAGTTAATTCCGGTTTTTTAACTTTGATCAACAATTTATTTATATGTACCGATATAGGTAAACAATATGGATAAAATTAATTATGTAAACTCTGTTCTTGTTTATAACGTTGTCATCCAATTACGTATGAGTCATAACAAATTATCCCGTTCTTTAAATGGTCTCAATTTACTGCGACCGATAGACCGAGGATATATTCAAAAGGGATTTAAAAAGAGTAAAGGCATTTGCCATTCAGGCTGTTTTTATATACGTTATTGGTATTATAATCAATATTTTGTATTATTATATAGAGTTCAAAAACGTTGTACGTTTAAATGGACTTACTAAAAATAAAGGCTCAATATGCTTTACTCTCACAAATAAAACCTGTTTAAATATTTTAACACATTTTACCCTGGTGACATTGAAAAGCTATGAAAGTCATATATTTCAATAAACTCGTTCGCCGTTCATCCCAGCTTGCTTGTGGCCAAATGTCGTCACCTTAGGTTTTTAGAGTATTAAAAAGATGTCATTTAAAGGTTTCAATATATTTGACACATGTGACCTTGATTATGGGTGAAGGTATTTAATTTCAATTTACATGATATCACTTACGTCATTACCCGAGGTATTTAGTTATTCAGAGCCATAATGCTTTATACATTATTTGAACAAACGTACAGCTCTTTATCTGAGCATGCGACTTGCATTTTAGTTCCAAAATGACTCAAAAGGTTTGTTAAACAAATTAAAGCCCTATGACCTACCAAATAAAGCTATCAAACTAAAATCATGACTCTGGTCCTCTCCGTGATGCCAAAATTTTGTTTTAAATGTTTGAAATAATTGATTTTAATGACCTTGGTTAACGGTGAATGTCATTTATTTGACCCAATTTCATAGTCGATCATACTAGCATGCTATTGGTAATTTAGTATTACTTCATAGTTGACTTCATTTCATATCCTTATTATAAATTGCTCGATTTTGAACTATATTTTTGTCCTTCGATGAAAGAAATTTTACACTTTTTCTTTCTAATTTGGTCGGATTTATTATTTACTATTTAAAAAAATGGCCTAATTTAACATAAATAAAGTATAAACATGTCTTGTCGATTCGACAAGTGAATTGTGCTAATCCTGTTTAAAGTATCCATTACTCTTGTCTAGATAACTACTTAAACAAATAATTATCAACAACTCGTAAGGCCAATTTATGTACAATATGTCTATTTGTTTTGTTTCAAACGTTGCATCCAAATAATTGTTTTGGGGAAATGTAATAAACCTTTTGTTTAACAACACTCTCAAAGTGACGATACTTGCTTTTGTTCCATTATCAATGATATAAAACATTATTGTTACTAATATCAACAGATTATAACTAAATTAACCAAAATGTTGTATGAGTATTGAATTCACAATTATAATAATCAATCTCCAAAGTCGTCATTCAAAGCTGATTTGTATAATTGTAAATATTTGTATATGAACAAAATTGAATAATATTTCCTATTTTTAACACGTGTTAAAAAAACCATAAACCGATGCTAAAACTCATATTACAATATTTTCTCTGTGTGTATTATTCTAAGTTAAAATGCCATTTTGGGGAAGATATGAGAGACGGGATGAAATCAGGATGGCTTTAACCATTAAAGAATGTCTAAGCCCAGGAATTTGAACAATGTTAATATGCTTTTTGTCTGATTAATATATTTTTGGCATACATAACCACCATAAAATGATCGATTATTTCATCGATTTTTTTTATATAAATCATATACAGTATGTTCTGTTCCCTAACAGTACAGCGTGCTGACACTTTTCAATATAATTTATTTGTAAGACTGTTAACCTCATTGCAAGAAAACGACAAGGTTATGGTGACTTGGCAACAACATTTAGTAATCGGACAAAACTCGTACAAAAAAACCCCATTTCTGTTGTTCAGATTTATGTTGTTGCCATTTGTTATCGCTCAGTCAATATTCCCACACTGGGGACTAGAATTTTCCACTGCCTTGTACGAGTCGATCTCGTATTGAGTGTAATTGACTCACCGCATGTCAAAACAATTTGATGCTTCCATTTAAAACAGGGTAAAATCAGATATATCTGTAGGCCTATATCTAAAAAGTACACTGTTCATTTGTATACTGAGGACATCTGTCTAAGAGATGGGGATGGTATTCAACCTTGCCTTGAGGTTTTGCTATGTTGATGCCTCAAGTACTGATTTTGATAGTTTGTTTCCATTCCCTGGTGGATCTTAGGAAGAATGGTGCAATATGTTCTATTTTTTTACTCTCCTGTCTCATAATTAGCTTGTGATGCCCTCAGGTTCTACTTTCACCTGTTGTGAATTACCGGTATACTGCTGGAACTGCTTTAACAGCCCGTATGTTAAGATGACGGTTAGACAACGTATTAACGTTTAATGTTATATGTAACCCAAACTAGTAATCACAAGGTACATTTTACAAGTGCTCGAATGTATGAAAATACAGTGTATGTGTAAACGGGTGTATTGTTTTATTTATACATGGAATAATCATGTAAATAAATCAACTATTAAAACATAGTTTTAACGACATAAGTCTTAAATGCTGAGTGTAGACAAATAGTGTAAGACATATGACCAAGGTAATGTGCGACACTAGGGTGTTAAGTTCCGGAAACTTGTATCGCGAAAACGACATATTCCGCTCGTAGTCTGGGACACTGTACCAGGTTTTGAGCTCTATTGCCTTTGTTACGATACATAAATAGCAATAATTAGACGTGGAATCGATAATGGTAACACAAATTTGCTAAATATTAATTTTATATACCGACCTGCATATACAGAATATACATATGGGATCCTAAATTATTTTTTATTTCATATGAGATTTTATGTAACGGGTTTTGGGAGTTTTTATTTTTGCGAGCCTTGGCTAGCAAAAATTTAAACTTCGAGCCGAGTTTCATAAAAGCTCATATAAAGTGAAGATTCTTTTATCACATAACTTACATTTTGACAGGTTTTAAAGCCAAAATGTAGAAAGCTTAATCAAACGGAGACAGCCATTTTGTTGCGCCCTTCACAATTTAGGACGTCACGTCATTGTCCATATTATAACGTCACAATCGTTTTATGACCGGCACAGGGTATATTACACTAGTGACATATGTAAAAATATTACACGGGGAATTTACTGGATAACAGGCCATTTATGTGATAATAAAAATCCGTGAAATCAAGCCCATCACGTTTGGAATGGTGCGCTAGCATTGTGTACGGAAATGTAATGTCGTTTATAATACCGGACCCTGAGACTGTCAACAGATCCGGAGTACGGATCGGAACTTCAGAATATTGATTTTTATCTATTTTCCGAGCATTAATACTACTAAATTTTAACGTTTACCAATTATTAGTATGAGGACACGATAAATAATTAAAGTTGTTGATGATATGAATGATAACATGACATAATTTTGCCGTTTACGCATTGAAATATGGAAAGGCAAAATGGGGTGGGGGACAGAGTTCTATCTTCAAGTGAGCAAAATTGCGGAATTTTCATCGTGGACCCCACTATTTTGTATGCTTATCGAAAAGCATATATACCTGGCTGTCTTCTGTAAAAGTTTTATAAAATTGACATGGGTGTTGATAACGTTTTAGCTTGTTTTTTAAAGCGTTTGTTCGACGTACATTTGTTAAAATTGCATTTTGAAGTGAATGGATTGCCACGAAAAATGCATGAATATAGCAAATATAAATATTTTTGTTTATTTTTTGCTTTCGATAGTACATCACGTAATGTTTAAAAATATTCAACTTGCTGGTACCTCAAATTTTGTAAATATTATAGAAAACATATTTTTACTTAATTTTCATATTTTGTGGGAAACTTTAAGAAAAGCTCAAATATCTCAAAAAGTAAGTCGAGGACTCAGAGTTTAAAACAAATTATTTTGCAGTTCTTACCTTAGCAAATATATATTCATGTACAGAATAATACTATGATATATAGGTCGTTTATGTTATGCATTGCTATTGATAATGGGTAATATTATATATGTAGTTTTAGATTTCCCGCTTGATTCTTTATTTCTATGTTTAGTGTATATATTTCTATGTTACATATACACTAATCCAAAGTTATTTGCTACCTACATCAGTGTTGTGTAGCTATGTGTTATATGTAATCATAAATTGGGTTAAGTATTACTGTAATACCATCTTGTTGTTACATCCGATAGACGTACCTAGAACATCGAGTAGAATTAACTTTGTAAACTCTTGTTTATTACGTTGTTACCAAGTTACCTGTCAGAAACTTGCAACTTGTGTGAAATTCCAAACAGTTCGAAAATTTAGTTTGTTGAACTGTGCTTTTTAAGTGGTGTTTAACTTTTTATCGATTGTAGCAGGAGAAATGAAATACTATGCATCTACTGGACGCTTTGTTCAAGGTAAATATCCTCAGTGGTTCATTATAAATGACGTGGATGATGTTGACAACAAACGGATATTAATTTACATTGTCATTGAACCCCAATGTTTTACTTCCCTGACATCATGAAGTAGATATTTTGTATTACTAGTACCCATGTAGCTTTTCGGGGATAAATGAAATTTTAGAATTATAGAGATAACTTAATTTTATGACAAGGAAAACGTATGTTTAATATGTGTTGTTTATTAATTCTCTAGAAAGCTTTTGTCTAAACAAATTAATCATAAAGATATCCATGTATCCAAGGGCAGCAAAGAAACGGAAACTTTGCCGTTGTACCGGCTAATTTTGTCGTTTTTAAGTTTGAAAGTATAAAAGTATGTGCAATTTCCTTGGACAAATTACAACATTTCTTGGTTATTAATCACAAACAAAACTACGCGATTGTTTTAATATTTGTTTGATATGTACTTCATATAATTCAAGATGACGATTTCTATCAAACTGATGAAGAAGAGAAGAAAAAGACACATAGACATTGGAAAACTGAACAGCACATTATACAGATGGATGCAACAAAACAATATTTAAGGGAACAAAGTGAAAGGGGACATCAGTTTTATAGCTTAGGTTTGTTAAGCTTCAAGTTATAACGTTCCCCAAAGTTTCTGATGATGATGATAATGCTGGAACTTCACATGAGTATTACCAATTTTGGGCGTATATCGCATACATTTCCCGATCGAACGTCATAAAATTGATTGGACTTATTTGGCTTTGACTTATCCTGAATTTTGTAGATTGTAATGGAAGGAATTGAAAGGGATTTTAAACTGACCCCTCTGCTATTTTAAAAGATCAACTCATTCAGCAATATAGGAAATGTAGCCTGGCTTCCGATTGTTCGAAATGAAGATATTGTTTGAATTTGCTTATACTTGGTACATAGGTGTATTTAGCTTATATTTGGTATTAATTTGATCACACCAAACACAACTGTGACTTCCATTTCTCGTTTTGTAAATATTGTCTGTCAAAACTGTGCGATTCATATAGAGTTTTAATATTTTGTAGCACGAGACAAGGAGGGCTTTGCATTGATTTACAGGTGTTTTAAAGGTAACTATTGTCAGTGGTTCATTATATATGGTATCGTGGTTGATGTTCACAACGAACGTAAATAAATTTACATGGAAATCCAATGTTTTACGTCCCTGACATCATGGAATAGAGACATTGTATTATTAGAATCCATATAGTTTTTCTGGAATTAATGAATTTTAAATAACAACGGACCCTCGATGATTTTAATTATTGAGATTACTCTTTTTATGACAAGGAAAAATAGTATGTTCAATATGTGTTGTTTATTAATTCCCATGAACATTTTTGTCTGATCAACTTAATCATAAAGATATTCATGTACCCCAGGGCAGCAAAGAAAGGAAAATCTGGCCGTTGTATCGGATAATATGTTTTCGTTTGTTTCGAAAATTAAACTTTGTACCATTTCCTCGGACAAATTACAACATATCTAAGTTATTAATGACAAACAGAAATACGCGATTGTTTTAATAATTGTTTGACATGTACATAATATAATTCAAGATGACGTTTACTATCAAACTGATGAGGAGGAGAGGAAAATAACACCTAGACATTGGAAAACTGGGAAGCACAGTTTAGAGAGGGATGAAACAGAACAACTTTCAGGGGATCAAAGGGAAATGAGAAATCAGTTTCACCGCTTGGGTTTGTTCAGCTTAGAGTTATAACGTTCCCCAAAGATTATTCTGATTGTGATAATGATGGAACATTTCCCGATCGAACGTCAAAAATTTGCTTGGTCATATTTGGATTTGACTTTTCCTCTTATTTGTACATTATCATAACAAATCAATACACTGGATTTTATACAGTCACATTCTGCTGTTACAAATCAACTCATTCGGCATAATAGTAAATGTAGCCTGGCTTCTGATTTGTGGAGATTAAAATAGTGTTTGATTTTGCTTATACTTAATACGTAGTTGTAGTCACCTTCTATTTGATATTTAATTGCATAATGTCACAGCAAACACCACTGTGACCCCCGTTTCTCGTTTTGTAAATATTGTTTGTTTAACTGTGCGATTTAAATTGAGTGTTTCTTTTAACCTTTTGTAGCACGAGTCATGGAGAGATTTGTACTCACTAGAAACCGTTTGAAAGGTAACTATCGTCAGTGGTGGATTAAATATGCCATAGTCGTTGATGTTCACAACAAACGGACCTACAATTGTATGGAACCCCAATGTTTTACATCCCTAACATCATGGAATACAGACATTGTATTACTTGTATCTATGTAGTTATTCGGGAATAAATGCAATTTTAAATAACAATGAACGCTCGATGATCTTCATCATTGGGATTACTTATTGCAATGAAAAAGAACAGGTATAGAATGTTCAATATGTGGGTTTTTTTCTCACAAAAGCTTTTGACTGATAATTTCAGTATTATAACACTCGTTCATATGTACCGGAGGTGGATAAAGAATTCCTCCCGAGGGTATCATAAATTAGGGTAAAATCTGAGGCTATGCCGATCGAACGTCTACAATTTGTTTCGACATATTTGGCTTTGACTTTTCCTGTATTTTGTAGGTTGTAATGGATGGAAATGAAAGAATGTTTAATCTAACACTCTCTTCTATTAAAAATCAATCCATTCGGCAAAATAGTAACTGAAGCCTGGCTTCTGATTGGTCGAGATTAAGGTATTATTTGATTTTTCTTATGTTTGGTTTGTAGGTGTATTCTGCTTATATTTGGTATGTTATTGGATGATTTAAATGAAAACACTACTATGACCTCTACTTTTCGTTTTGTAAATAGTGTTTGTTTAACTGTGCATTTCAAAGAGTTTTTCTTTTGACCTTTTGTAGCACGAGACATAGATTACGTTGTATCCACTGAATACTCTTTTAAAGGTAACTATCCTTAGTGGTTCAATACATATGACATCGTGGTTGATGTTCACAACAAACGTATATAAATTTTCATGGAACCTCAATGCTTCACTTTCATAACATCATGGAATAGAGACATTGTATAACTAGTATTGTAACAAACACGGGTTCGTTCTTGATGGACATTTATTGCATATCTTCAAGTCATAATTCCTTGAATATATTTACATGCGTTATATTCAGGATATTCAAGACCCTACAGTGAAACAATGCAAACCAATTTAAGTCTAGTTAAAAAGTATTAGAACATATATGGACAATACATATGCTTTACATTTATCTAAATTAGATAAATATAAACATAATTTTTCAATGACTTTATGCATTTCATTTTAAAGATACCAAAAACATTACATTTATTCAATACTTAGTAAATCATTTATACGTGTCCAACACAGAACTTTACACGAAATAAGTCAAAAACATAACCTATATACCTACCCCAAAAATGGGTTAAGGGTCTAAAGATGAAATCTTCCAGATAGTTGTCAGTACGACAAACTGTGGACTAGCATGGTAACAACTGAAATACAATGAAATATTTACATACTTCAGATATCAAAAACCAACTTCAAATAATGTACTCAAAACGGTCGATGACGGATATTCACACAAATGATAATTCAGGTATAGAAATTTTTATCCAAATCGATATTATTCTAACTTACATATATAGATATTAGAGTGAGAATAATAATGCTTATAGTTTAATTATTTAAATACATTCTAGTGCGTACCGATTATTGAAATTCCCCGTACTACTCGCCCAGCTGTCCACTGTCAAATGTCTGCTGTCAAATGTATATTATGAATGACTTACGCGCCAAACTTACACAAAGACACCGACCAAATAAACCAAAACGAGGCACTTTCATACACACTCTTATCTTACACGTACAAGGTACATGCATACAACAAGGAACATACATCACGTGACAAGGACAGTACAGGTACACGAACATACACAGCACATTGACAATACAGTACGAATACTAGGACTCACAGCGCTATGCATATTTAAATATTAAAAATGACATATATATTGTATATTGCAAATGATATCCCCGTTACTGTATCAAAAAAGTTATAAAGAAAAGTGCAACTTTTAATACACATCGAACCTTCAAAGAGATATTTTTTAGAAATTACTTATTTGTATGATAAGGAAAAAAGTATGTTCAATATGTGATGCCTTTTTTTCTCCCGATAGCTAAATATTTAGTTAATATGAAGATAGAGATACCCATCTATCTGAAGTTGGCGAAGAAAGGCAAATTTGGCTGTTGTATCGGATGGTTGTTTTCTTTTGTTTCAAAAGTATAATGTGTAAAATTTCCTCAAACAAATAACTTTTTTTTTTTTTTTTTTTTTATTTAANTTTTTTAATTAACAGAAATAGGTGATTGTTCAAATATTCGTTTTACATCATTTAATTCAAGATGGTGATTTGCATCAAACTGACGAGAAAGTGAAGAAAGGGAAACCTGGACGCCGGAGAGCTAGGAAGCAAATGACGGGGAGGGATGCATCAAATCAACCTTTAGGGGACAAAAGCGACAGGGGACATCAGTTTCACAGCTCGGGTTTGTTCAGCTTCAAGTTATAACGTTCCTCAATTTTTCATTTTATGATCATTATGATGGAACTTCACATTAATATTGGTATTTCTCGGCGTGTAACCCATACATAATCCGATCGAACGTCCACAATTTGTTTGAACATATTTGGCTTTGACCTTTCCTGTATTTGTAGATTGTAACGGAAGGAAATAAAAGAAATTTTAAACTAACACTCTCTTCTAGTAAAAATCAACTAATTCGGCAAAATAGTAATTGTAGCCTGGCTTCTGATTGGTCGAGATTAAGATATTATTGGAGGTTGTAACCGTGTGTGGGTTCTTATTATTTTTGTGTATTTTTTTTTTCTTTTTCTGTTGGTTGTTTGGCATTAGTGAGGGAGATACCTCATAATGTTGACAACTCCGAGAACTGGAACTTTTTTCCCTATGTATGTGTATATGTAGTTTTTTGTCTGTATATGTGATGAGTGAAAGTTACATTTATAAATATATAAACTTGCAATATAAATACAAAATAACCTCAAGTATGGAACCTTTAAAATTAGCTTTACTGATATCAGATGGCAGACGGTATTAACATAGTGAGTCTCAACTGCAGAGGTCTCAGAGACAGTTGTAAAAGAAAAGATGTCTTTAATTATTTAAGACAAAAACAATATACAATTTACTGTTTACAGGACACTCATTTTGTTGAGGCCGATGAAAATATGATTAAAGCTCAATGGGGATTTGACCAATGTTACTTTAGTCATGGTAGAGGAGACTCTAGAGGGGTATGTATCCTCCTGAACAACAATTATGACTGTAAAGTTAATAAGACAAGTACAGATCAGGAAGGAAATTATATAATATTGAACATTGAAATTGAAAACAAAATTAAGGTAATTTTAGTAAACATCTATGGTCCAAATAAGGATAATCCAGAATTTTACAAAAAACTTAAAGAAAGTTTAGCTGAAGAGGAAGAAGAATTTTTCATCATCTGCGGGGATTTAAATATGGTACAGGATTTTAATTTGGATAACTATAATTATAATACAAGAAACAACCCTAAAGCAAGAGAGGAATTACTAAATATCATAGAGGAATTTAACCTTGAGGATCCGTGGAGAACCCATAACCCTACAGTTAAAAAATATACTTGGTTTAAAAAAAATCCAGTTAAAAAAGCAAGACTTGATTTTTTTCTGATCTCCGAGGAACTAATGACAAATATGAAAAAACTGAAATATTGCCGGGGTATAGAACAGACCATTCTATGGTTAAACTAAAACTGAGACTTACAAATTTTAGAAAAGGAAAGGGTTTCTGGAAGTTTAACAATGCACTTCTCTTTGATAAGATATATGTAGATAAAGTTAAGAAATGTATAAGAGAGACTAAACTTGAATATGCTCTACCTATATATAATATGGAGGAAATAGAAAACATAGAACCTGGAAGTTATTAGCCCGTTATTAATAACCAACTTTTTTGGGAAATGATTTTATTGAAAATTCAGGCTGCTACTATAACCTACAGTGGCCATAAAAAGAAGAGAAATAAGGAAAAAGTTGACAGGATTGACAGACAAATAAAAAACATTGAGGAAATGTTGAGTGACAAGTCGAACACTATTTTTGAAGAAATTTTAACTGAACTGAAAAATGATCAAGAAAATATGAGAAATGAGTATATGAAAGGACTAATTACTAGAGCGAGAGCTCAATGGGTTGAAGAAGGGGAAAAGCCCACAAAATACTTTTGCAATATGGAAAAGAGAAAATATGTAAATGAGAATGCAACAAGACTTGTAGATAATGCTGGTAGGGAGATAATAGAACAAGAAAATATACTAAATGAAATAAAGGAATTTTACAGTAAACTCTATGCAAGTAGTGAGGACAAAATCGAAAATGTTAACTTAAATGAACTATTACATGGATATGAGATACCCAAAGTAAACGAAGAAATTAAAAATAGGCTAGACCAGGAAATTACATTAGAAGAGGTAGGTAGGTCAATAAAAAATCTCAAAAATGGAAAAAGCCCAGGCCCGGACGGTTTCANTGGGCGACATCAGTGAGTATTAGTAGATTTTGAGAAGGCTTTCGACTCCATAGCATGGAGTTTCATAAACAAAGTATTAACTTTTTTCAATTTTGGTGAATATTTCATAAAAATGATACAAACCTTAACTAGAAATGCTAGTCTGTGTGTAATACAATATGATATTTTTTCAAAATTCTTCCCTATAGAACGGGGCTGTAGACAGGGTGATCCAATCTCCCCATACTTGTTTATACTGTGCGTCGAGATTTTAGGTATCCTGATTAGAAACAATAATGATATAAAGGGAATCAAAATAAAAAATCGTGAAATAAAACTTTCACAATATGCTGATGATACAGGTATCACTATAGATGGAACGGCAAAATCTCTCAGAACTACACTTAATCTACTAGATCAGTATGCAAAATACTCGGGTGTAATGCCTAATATTGACAAGACGAAATGTATATGGATTGGCAGCAAATCTCATAGTAAAGACAGAATATGCACAGAGAAGAAACTTGTTTGGTCAGAAGAACCCTTCGTGTTTTTAGGTATTAAAATGAGCGTAGATCTAGACCAAATAACCGAACTAAACTATGAAAGTAAAATCAAAGAAATGAAGGCTCTATTACATGTATGGTCTAAAAGTTTAATTAGTACAATGGGTAAAATAACAGTGATAAAAAGCATAGTTATGCCAAAAATAATTCATTTATTTACAAGTATACCAAAACCTAATATACTAGTGATAAAACAGATTGAACAAATGTTCTTCAGTTTTATAATATATGGAATAATAAAAATGATCGGGTATCTAGGAACCAAATATCAAAGTCCTATGAAGAGGGCAGAATAAAAATGTTCAATATAGAATACTTCATCAAGTCGATGAAACTGACTTGGATACAAAGACTTTTCAAGTCAAATGACTCCTGGACCTTAATTTTTGAAGAGGTAATAGGTGATAGCAAGAAAGTGATTGTCAATAGAGGTAAGGAATTTCTAAAGAAGAAAGTGCATAGTATTAAAAACCTATTCTGGAAAGAAGTTCTAGAAGATCTATATTTTTGTTCTGGTGTTGTCGGAGAAGAGGAATTTATTTATCAACATTTATGGTTCAATAATAAAATAAAAATAGACAATAGAACTGTCTATATTAAACAGTGGGAAAAAATGGGCATACGTTTTGTCTATGATATATTGAATGACCGAGGTGAACTCATTACATCTTACGAGGGGTTTTGCGAAAAATATAACTTTCATCCGCAACTAACTATGTTCTATGGGTTAAGAAATGCAATTATTTCAGCATGGAATATAATACATGTCAGAGCGTCCACTATAGTTCTGCCTCACTGCCCAAAGTTTATTTACAACATCATAACAAACAAAATGAGGGGTATATCAATTAATAATTTATTGGTCAAAGAATTGAAAGTTAATACAAAATATCAACTGAAATGGGCTGAAGACCTAGATTCAATAATGAATGACTTTCAGTGGAGGAAAGTAAATATGTCTATTTAAAAAAATACTAAACACATAAAACTTAGATGGCTCCAGTACAGAATAACAAATAGAATCATCAGTACAAATGAATATCTCCACATGATAAAAATAAAAGACTCTCCACTTTGCTCCTTCTGTAATAATAACAGAGAAACAATAATACATTTATTTTATGAATGTAGAGTAGTCGCTAGTTTCTGGAATGATCTCAAGCAATGGCTGTACACAAAAACCAATAAAATCATAGAACTGAACAATAATGATGTCATATTTGGAAAAGCAACACATAAACAAGATATTAATGCTCTAAACAGTATTTTGCTGATTGCTAAGCACCACATTTATGAGCAAAAACTAAAAACTAGTAGACCTTATATTGCTTACTTTAAAAAAGACCTGGAAGACTACATTCGGATAGAACAGGTAATATACAAAAAGAATATGGATTACAACAAGTTTGAAAACAAATGGTTCCAAATAATCTAACTTAATTACCTTATAGACATGCTAGTATTAAGTATTTTGTAATGTGTGAATGGATGCATGAAAGTTATCTGTTATGTGTATAAAATAAATTAAATGTCTTTTTTGCTATATAGGTATGTATTGGTACTCCAGTTGTAATATACACAGCAGCATATATAATCGAACAAAAGTATATCTCTGCTCTTCAAGGCAGAATCTGAGTGTAACAAATATATGTTCAATTTGAAACTTTCTCTCNAAAAAAAAAAAGATTTTGCTTATGTTTGGTTTGTAGGTGTATTCTGCTTATATTTGGTATGTAATTGGATAATGTAACTGAAAACACTACTATGACCTCCGCTTTTCGTTTTGTAAATAGTGTTTGTTTAACTGTGTATTTAAAAGAGTTTTTCATTTATTCTTGTGTCCAACACAGAATTTTACACGAAATACGTCAAATACGTAATCTATATTCCTACCCAAAAAATGGGTCAAGAGTCTAAAGATGAAATATTCCAGATAGTCGTCAAAACGACAAAATGTGGACTAGCGTGGTAACAACTGAAATACAATGAAATATTTACATACTTTAGAAATTAAAATTAACTTCAAATAATGTACTCAAAACGGTCGATGACGGATATTCACAAAAATGATTATTCAGGTATAGAAAATTTTATCCAAATCGATATTATTCTAACTTACATATATAGATATTAGAGTAAGAATAATAAAGATTTTAGTAAAATTATTTAAATACATTCTAGTGCGTATCGATTATTGAAATTCCCCGTACTACACGTCTAGCTGTCCACTGTCAAATGTCTGCTGTCAAATGTGAAAAGGCAAACTTGGCTGTTGTATCGGATGGCTGTTTCTTTTGTAAAATTTCTTATCATTAACAGAAATATGCAATTATTTTAATATTCCTTCTATATCATTTATTTCAAGATGGCGACTTGCATCAAACTGATGAGAAAGTGACGAAAGGGTCACTCAAACGCCGTAGAGCTAGGAAGGAAATGACAAGGAGGGATTTAACAAATCAACCTTCAGGGGACAAAAGCGACAGGGGTAAGCAGCTTCACAGCGCAGGTTTGTACAGCTTTAAGTTATAGAGTTTCCCGAAAGTTCTTCATTTTCTTCTTCTTCTGATGAAAATGATGATGATGATGATGATGATGATGATGATGATAACCTTAACATGATATTGATATTTATGACTGCATTCCTATCGATTATGTATTAACTTTTGTTGAATGTGGTAGATAATAAAAGGAGTGAGTGAAAGTGATCGGCAACGGCAGTACTCCGGTATGGCTTCGTTAATGTCGGTAGAGCATCGGTAGTGCCCCGTAATGGATCGGCGGCTCTCCGGTGGCCTGAATGTGTACCGTACTGGTACGGATGTGATACCTTAGTACTATCAAATACCACTGAAGTATAACTGATGCGCCGCCGATGTACTAATGACAGAAAAATGGTATTCGGTAGCACATCGGCTCTTACATCGGTAGAACAACGGTATCGCAACGGAAACTCTGGTAATACATCGGTATTGCTACGGTCAAATTCGATTTTTTCAAGTGCTTGATCGAAACCCAGTTCGCATTTTTCCTAAATAGTATATTATATGTTGGTGCTGTTAAACACCTACAGTATATATCATGATGACACAGATAGACAGAGGGAAATAAGGAAGAAAACATGACAAGGACCAATCACAAAGACCGGAAGATCGTTCACTTTTTCTGCCACATTAAAAAGGTTTAATAGATAAAGTAAAATGACAAATCAGTTCAATTATATACATATGTAAAATATTGTCAGAAGATTTGTTTTTAAGTAAAGATCAGGGATCTTTGCACCCACCATCGTAAGATCTTTATTTGTGCTCTGCAAGTTTTTTTTTTCTCTTTTATTTCCCTAGCTTGTAAACTGTAAATATATCTTGAGGTATTTGTTAATGAAAATCGTATATTGCTATCTGACGTCATTCTTAACACTTAAAGTTAGGTTGTCATTTTACCCTTTTAATATGAAATAGGTGGTATCTAGAGGCGAACGCTTAATAAAAAAATACTGTATACATTGTAATTCATTGGAACAAATAGGGTAACCAATTGGTAATAGTGTAAGAGTAAGCATTACTATTTTAGACGATATCGCATCGCACCCATAGGTTCAACTTTGTTTTGAAAGTCGCTGGTACATTATATACTTCAATGGAATAGACATGTACATGTGCCCCTATGCAATGACTATATTTGTTACGGTATATTACGGTATATAATGTTAAAGATGATGTTAGCCGATTTAATTATGTATACCAATGTAACGGGAAAGAAAAAAAGAACGGGGTTTGAACCCGGGACACTCCGAACTCTAGACGGACGCTTTACCAATTGAGCTACATTTGTGTATCTGGTCGTCGACGATTGACCCAGTCAAGATCCACTACATTCCTTCCTCCTTATTCTAAGTCTTCGCCCCCGAAAACACAACTATTTACAATCAAGGTCCGCTACATTCCTTCCTCCTTTTTCTAAGTCTTCATCCCCAAAGACACAACTATTTACAACCCAGGTACGGGTATCCCCTTGTCAAGCATACAACAAATGCTTGACATAAGGGTTGGCCACAGGCACTACTGCAACAGGTGAGCAAACAAATGCACGGCCAGACCGGGGTTCGAATCCAGGACCCTCCGAATTCTAGACGGACGCTCTATCAATTGAGCTTTCTCATCGACCAAGTCGAGTTCCTCTTCTTATTCATCAAATGACAATATAATAAAGTAAAGTTGCAGAATCAAAAATGAAAAATGAAAATGCAGAAATTGGATATATACATCCTTTACCTCCTTTACTATGACTAGATACACATACAAACGATCTTGTTCAAAGCATTACACAGAACCTTATATTATGGTGCCACTTTTTAATGTTATCGAATATCGGTATTAACAAAAAAGTGTTAATTTATTATTTGTGATTTTTTCAGAAAAAACAATGGGTCCCTGTTTTAGCCAAAACTTTCCTGACGCAAAGTACGTTGAAAAGTTAATAAAAATGACGTCATCACCATATGCACATTGCAATGCGCTATTTCCATTATTTGAGTCGATTGTTGTGATGACATTTTGTTATCTACAACCCTCTTCGCCAGGAATTAAAATGATATGCATGCATGTGAATATTGTATTTGGTAAATGAAGTTTGTTTTACCAAATTGTCCGATATTCTACGATATGCAAAATATCGTTTAGTACAGTATATATACGATATAGGTCAATTTGGCTTTTCATGATAATCCCGGGATTGCAAAATCGAACCCGAGTTTGTAGACTCAACAAAAATGAAACAAACAAAACAAAACAAACCTTCAACACTTCTCCTGACATATACATGCATTGTGCGTAATGTTGTTCGTTTACATGGACTAAAAAACCGATTTTTTTACACACAAACAATATGATATTTTTCTACGATAATGGTGTTGTTATTTTTAGTACTTTATCGGCTTATACTGAATTTGATTAAAAATTTAATGATTGTGAATTTTCCTATTTGACTGTGTAAAATAAACTGCATGTATTTCATATAACATACTCCGTCTTACTGGACCACACCAATTATCATTAGTATAAAATATATACGCGGGAAATGTCGATTATGACGTCATATTGACTTATGACGTTGTACTCAGATTTTATCTGTTATGTGCTGGGTTTGGTCTCGATCGTTAGAAATGGGCCAGTTATCGGAGTTATGTCATATAAATCGTTAAAATTGAACAATAAAAGAAACTTTATCTGAGACAGTTGTTTCTGTATTGTATTAATTAAATTTATTGGAAATTAATATATATCCAGTGGATGCAAAATGGCGGCTTCCATAAACGGAATTTGTGCACGCGCGATTTCGAAAATTATGCAAGTAAATAGTCTAGCTAGGTCTATGTGATTTCATGGTAGATTTTGACCGGGGTGTCTTTTACGTGTACGTGTACGTGTTACCTATGAAGGTCACGCAAGAGCGTTCGCTTTTAACATAATTACTAATTTAGGCATATGTAAAAGAAAACACTTAACCAGTCAAAGCCTATTTCCCAATTAGTCTAAAACAATTATGCACTTCTATTTGAAAAATACCCTCACGTGCTTTGTGAGAAAAGCCTTAACAAACTTATTCAAAATAACCACTTGTCATTTGCCGGGCTCGTGACCGAAGGGTTGCGGGTTCGAGTCACGGCACGGCACGGCACTGTGTTGTATCTTTGAGCAAGATACTTTTCTCCGCTTGTTCCAGTCTACTAAGCCGTAAATGAGTACATGGTTGGGCAGTGCTAGAATTGTAGAATGCTAGCTGCGACTGCCGAAATGGAAGCACAGGCTGATTGCTCCCCATGGAGTTAAGAAAGATATTGACTGGTTGCAAAGGCCCTACAATCCACGGATAATAATTTGCGAACCGCTTTGAGACGACCTACGAACTAGGGTGTGATAAAGCGTTATATAAGAACCTCGAATTATTATTGTTATTATTTAAAATTAAAAACAAAAAGTCGACGAACCGAAGGAAATCCTCCGACGCAGGACAATCTGACGTCTGATGATGGTGGGCTTAAAAGAAACTTTACAGATCAAATTAAGGTTTATGAAAAAGCATGCAGATATCTTATATGTTCTGTCAAATTAAAAAAAAACTGATTTCTCTTATTGTTTCAAATATTTTGTATTAAGGAACGACTGAATCATCCAGCAAAAGCAAAGTTCCAGATGTAAGTTGAAAATTATATTTTTAATGGTGATTAAAAGTAAATTTGGTTTCACAATTCTGTTAAAACGTTAGGCATAATTGAAATATATATATATATCACAACTTCAAACTACATATGAACAAGATCTGAATTCAAAAAATGAAACAAATGGACGGACACATAAAACAAGTTTTAAACTTGGAGTCTGTAATAAATAAAGTAATTTGGATTTCAAGCAAGGGAGATATTTTAGTACGTGTTTAACATCAATATCACGGAAGCAATATTTGCTTGCTGTATACAATAACGATACATATGATACGTTCGGTTTATAATTTTGATATGAAACATAGAAAACCGAACTGATTCGGGAATAATATAACTTTTTGCAACCTCTTGGGGTGAGATAGGGAATATCAACCAGAGGGGGCAAATACATTTGGCAATTAATTATTGTTTTAAAAAAGGCGTGGACAACGGTAGAACGAACTCTTTGTCTTCAGTAGCATTTCATTGCATCATAATTAACAAATAGAAAATATCAAAATGAATTCAAGCATGTATAGTATGTATCAGATAACATAATGGGATTTTTGTCAAAGCTACATCCCTTCACAGTTCATTATCAAATTATTACATTTATAAAATGTATCATGCGTCATCGATTAATAACGAAGTCTAAATTACAATAATTAGCGATATTTTTGTCGTAGGGAACTGATTTGGACTGGAGATGTATGATTAAGCTTTTTATCGTGTTTTCTTCAGTCGTTCGAAGAAATTTCCGTACGACATGCAACGAAACATGGAAACATTCGGTTGTTGCATGCGTTAGCAGCAACGTCAAAAGAAGGTATCGCCGAATTTGGACACGCCTTTCCCTTGCACACCGCCGTATCGCTTGGAATGAAGAGAACCACGTCGTTCCTTCTACAATCTGGATTTGATTTGGAAGAGAGAAATGAGTCTAATCGGACTCCAACCGAATGTGTCGATCCACGGAATGACAATGTTTTGTGTGAATACATAAGAAAAATGGATGGAATAGATGTTTCTCTGTCGCAACCTAGCTCACATCAACCCAATGGTAAGTCCTAAGTTTTACAGAGAGTGTGAGTTGGTGAATAATTAAAATGCATTCAAACCTTTTTTTTTTCATTCAGCATTATTGTATTTTTGTATTAAATGTTCTGTTTTATGTATGAGTAATGACAATGAAACTATAGTATGTACTTCCATGCCATAACGTTACATTTCTATTTCGTTATAGTTATCATCGTTCGTAAAGGCTCATGTCACGAGGAAACAGTCTGCATTGTCAACATGGAGAGAGTTGATTTATCTACAAGAACGGTTTACTTTCCTTCTACACAGGTTACAAATCTTTATTTTCTTTCGAAGGACCGGTGAGCTGATGCCATGGCGCGGCGTCCGTCGTCCGTCAATTTTACTGTAAAACGCTACTTGTCCTGAACAGCCCGGTAGATTTTGACTAAATTTGGTCCGGATCATCCTTAGGACAAGGGCACTCCTTTAAAATCCTTCACATTCCTTCTTCTACCGTAGGAATAAACGGATTTTAGTCTAGAGCATCCTTGGGCCAAAGGGACTCAATTGTGTATGAACGGTGAGTGTGGACCCCCTGGAGTCAGAGGGGTGGGCCGAATAAGGGAAGTAGAGGTAAACCTTTAAAACCTTCTACTGTAGGGAAAACGGGATTTGTATCCCAATTTGGTCTGGAGCATCCTTGGGCCAAGGAGACTAAATTTTATATAAGCAGTGGGTGTTGCCCCTCTGGGTACACAGGTGCGGGGCCCAAAATATCAGTTTGAGGTTTACGACTTTATGTAAACCATGGGTTTGGACCCCTGTGTTCTGTAATCTGTGAGAATTAAAAGACAAAAATCCTATAAGCAAAATAGATTTAGCGACAGTGCTAACAAAGGACTTAGTAAAATTTTAGAGTATTTCCGCCTTTTTATCAAGACAGTTTGGTTATGGTTAAGGTTTAAATCGGTTAAGATCTAATTGACAGTTAACGTTATTTAGAAACATGCCATCATGTGTTAATATATTCTTGCTTATGTGTAAGTATGTTGGAGACAGAGTATGGTCTGGTGCCGATATATGAGTGCTCACTCACTAACATAACATGCTGCCGAAAGCACCAAACACATTATATGACCGATCACATTATACTTACAACGGGATTATTCAGTCGTTAACATTACCTCCATTTCTTGTGATTTGGTAAAAATATTTAGAAATACAGTTTAAATAAGATAATTGTAGGGATCTCGTATGTCTTAAGTCGCAAAATAGGAGGAATTGTTGACCGTGACCTACCTATCAACTTTTGGCTACTTTTTTCGTTTAATTTTATTAATTGCACGTGTAGTGTTACTAAATACATCACCATTTTGGGGAAACATTAAAAAAAAATACACGTTATTTTGTCAAAATGAGACCAATTGCGAATTTGGCCCTCTACTTAACTCCCTTATATCTCAACTGATCTCCAAGCTGACCTTAATTTCCTGTCATATCATAATTGCATTATCCGAAGGAATATGTAAAGAAAAACTGAAACTTATTGATGATAACCACCAGAAGGCTCAAATTTGCACCCACTCTTTGGAAGGAAATTGACAAAATCCTTTTGAATGGACAAAGCAGACAATTTGGAAAGGAAAGACATGTCTTAAGGTTAGCATAGATGTTTCGATCGAGATTTAAAATAAACTTTATGCTATAACAATGGGGTTTTTGTCAAGTCCTTATATAACAAAATTAATGTAAAGTTCGACTGTTTCTATTTGCAGTTCCGATCAACTTTCAAGGACAGAGACCCATCGAGACAAATGTTTTTTGCCTCCCCTTTCCTCTCCGAATACAGCATGGTCTGTACCTATCAGATGTTCGGTTTGCTTTGGCTCCTTGGGAGATACCATGCAGAGGACTTCCTTCAATGCTTGAACGATATAGTCCTTCCAGAAAAAAACATCCTGCGATGCAAAGATGGCAGCACGGGCGTTATCGATTTCTGTACTTGGATCAACAGCAGAGAGGAGGAACATAAAGACCACAACAACGAAAGTAGTATGGGTAATTTATTTTATTGCAAGCACTTCAGTGCCTCTTACTGGTCGTCTACTTTATCATCTGTAACCCTATAAAAGAAGAAAGAGGTAATTCTGCAATAATCATATTGTATACAATTTATTGAAACAACTCATTGCTTTATGCTTGTTTATATAATGCATACCTTATTTGTTACGGTATCGAATCAAATCGATGTTTTACACACACACCCACCCCGAAAAATATCGAGGGGGTATGACAGTCTCTCGGTGTGTATTTTGGTCCGTCTGTCCAGACGATTACTTCAGAACGATTGATCATATAAAATTTAAACTTGAGAATTATCCTTGAGTAGTTTTGTTGGAATAAATACATTGAGAAAGAATGATCATACACTGTCCAAACTTGCTATGAGGATTACCCTAGGAATATTATAATTCTGCTTGTCGGGAAGATATCTTGGGGAAAGGGTGATCAAACAAAGTTCAAATACGGTGGATAGATGGCTCTTGGTATTACAAAGAACACTTTTTATTTTTTAGCGTGGTGTACCAGAGTTCAAGATCATAATTGCAAAAAAAAAAATCTGCTTAGTTGGAATCATCCTGATGATAAATTTTGGGTTTGGCTGCTTAAGAGACAACAAAGAATTCTGTTGACTTTGGTCAAGGTCAAGGTCACCGTTGCTAAACAAGAAAATCTGGTTTTTTCCGGATGTGATCATATAACGTTCAAGTTTGGTGTGTGAGTTGCTATAGTAAATACACAGAACCGTATTTTGATAAGGCATGGTGCACCAGAGGTCAAGGTCAGCATTGTTAAAAATTTCATTTTGCTTGTTAAAATGATTGCTTCAGAACGAACGATCATACAAAGTTCAAACTTGTGGATTGTCTAAACCCTATTGATTTTGGGTGTGGTCTATCAGAGGTCAAGGTGGTTATTACAAAAAAAACACAATTTTGATTAGTTGTGTTTGTCCCAATAATGACTTAAAATTTATTTCTATACACATTTCATACTTGAAATGTCACCATTGCTAAAAGAATTTTAAAAATCTTTTTCACTCTTATTATTTGTCATTTTATCTGATAAATTTGTTTTTGGTATTTTCAAGTTCTATAGTTTAACAGTTTGTCATATTTTTTTAAACTCTAGATAAATTACCCGATTGGATTCGCGCGCTACTCCAAAAGACATCTGAATCCCTGCGTGCGGATACAATTCTCTGTGATGGATGGACGCCGATGCATTACGCTGTCCTGACACGCAATGATGAACTCGTCAAACAATTGCTAGACTCGGGGGAGGGACATTTGACAAACAAAGCACATACGCTGCTCCCAGAATTTATCCTTGACCAACTAAAAAGAGAAAGCCGTTTTGAGTATGAGTTTGTTTACAGTCACATAGAAGGATTCACGCCTCTTATGCTTGCTACATTCACAGAAAATCAAACGGCGATTAAACTGATTGGTCAATGTATTGAAACATTGAATATATTCAACGGAAAAGATGTCGCTGATTGTCTCGAGTTAACATATTGTGAAGACACAGAAAGAAATCTTCTTGACGTCCTTTGTAGGAAAGGTGAAGAATATTTGAAGCAGGAGTATCATGTTGATGTCAACTTACAACCCTTCTACCGAAAGAAAAGCCCGTTGAGAAGGATACTGTTTGCTTCCTCAACAGATGTGCTTGAGACAATTGAAGAGGATTTCTTCGCTGCCAAAATCATAGTTGAGAACAAAACTATCGTCAACGACTATCTAAAAACGGGTACCACAGCCGCGGTTTCCGAAAAAGAAGATACACTTTTGGCAGAAACTTTACAGTTTCACTCAGCTAGGTTATGGAAAAGACACAGTTCGCTTAACGCTATTTTGCCAGGACACGTATCGGCACTTCCAGATACATGCCAAGGGTATCGCAAGTCGATCATGGTTGTCTTTCATAGCATTGACAAGGAATTGATTCCTGCATCTGAATTACCCTTCCAAGAATATTTGTTAACCAAAGAACAACAAATATTAGTTCACGTTACAGAGGGGTTATTCCGATTTGCTACAGCAACGAACCACACGGCACAGGTAGGCCGAAGCATTGATTACGACAAATACCGCGCCACACTAGGAACATTTGTTGAGAGTTCTCAGAAGCAAAAAGGAATGTTGACCTGTGGTCATACCTTCCTAAAAGATTTTATGGACAGCCGTGATCCTTTCTTTGACCGTACATATGATCCAAACTCTTCAGCAGAAGTCTTCGGAGTGTATAAAATTGAGGAAAATCGCCTGAAAGTTTTTAAAGAAGACAAGACATCTGCAGTTAAGAGCAACACCAAGGAACCTACCGCTGACAATGCAATGGAAATCACGTATCCGCATGGGTTCGAACACTAACCTTTCTATTTTTTTCTTGTAACATCTCCCTGACAATAAAACAGTTATCATCATTTCTGAAAAAAACTAAAAGAGTTTGCATAGAGTAGTCATACAATTCCGTAATACTTCAGTCAGTTGTTATTTTTTCGACTATTGCTAAACATTACGTTATCTATTAATTCTATGACGACGTCAAATAACGACCATTGGAAAATGAAAAACACAATCCTTTATTTACGACTAAACAGCACCTTCAATTTATTAAATTAGACGGATTTGAAATAACACGTAAATACATTCAAATGTTTGCTGTTACAGTGGCCGCTCTGGATATGTGAAAAGATTGCTACTTCGACCAGACAAAGAGGTTGGTATAGATGCAGCTCTCATCATGTTCCATGCTGACACACAATTCACCATTGGTCCACATCTGCATCTTGAGCATTCTATGGCCACTCAGCAACTGGAAAATCTAGGTAGGCGACAATTTCATCATGCGTAACGAATGGAAATATCTATTTTCGACTAACAAATATAATGCTGATTACGTCGGAGGATCATGACGGTCATTTTTGTCTTTTTTTATCGACACTGATTATTTAATTCATATTATTGGTTACAATTTGGTCAATTTTGGCCAAATGACTACATTGTGGTTTATTTGTCCTTGTGCTATAACACTGGTTTATTTTCACCAGTGTTTTGACGCTGTGGTTAATTAGACCCTGGTTGGTGGATTGTGTGTTATATTATATCATGCACGCTTATACAACACACATGGAGACACGTCTTCAAAATGACCTTAGGTGTGAAAAGAACGTTAAACAACTACAGCTAAATAATATATCATACATGTCGTGTGTTGACGAGGAGGTATATTACATTCTAGTATGTTAATGATGTGGTATTATTCAATAATAGCCTTTGGCTGAGGCCGATACCTGGATGTATCGGGTCGTTACATCCAGGTATTGGCCCAAGTTAAAGGCTACAATTGTTTTATTATTTTACAAAACAGTAATGTAGCCAATCTGAAAAACAATCACGACAAAAAGGCTTCGGAAGTGGGACGGTGCATTGTTTGGAGACACGTCATAATTCTATTTTTAGAATAGTCCTTCATCAAAAATCACGCGCTCCCAGTCAATATCGGTTATTATCGGTGGACACGTGATGCACTTCTGGCCAATCACTTTTGGGGAATAATATGAAAAAATAATAAATCATATTATAGCCTGTTGACACGGTGATATACTATGTCCTAAAGTGTTGACGATGTGCTATATAATATTCCAGTGTGTTCAATAATAATTTTATCCATAATTGAAGTTAATCAAGCCTGTTTTTCATTTCCTCTTTTTCTTGTGTGTTTACACTTTGTGAGGGATCATGATTCGTTCCTTTTCGTTTCCTCCAAATGTGTCGACCTTACGTTATGGTTTATTCTTTTCAACGTTACTAACATGAAGCTTGTAATATTTCATGAATAATTTATTTTTCAAAATCACATTTATTTCAGGTATTCAAAACATGGATTACCTGCAGTTCAATAACGGCGAAGCATTTTAATGTAAAAGATCTGTCCGCGTCCTAAAATGTGGCATTGGAACTGGTTTAACTTATGGAGTCATTCCTTTCGAATGTTCAACGGGCCAAGTTAGAATAAGCGACGGTAAATCCGAACCTATGGGATTCGACAACAGTAAATCAAAACACATAATGAAAGGACAGATTGTGGTTACACCGTTGGAACAAGCGACATTCTGTGGTCAAGGAGATTCAGGATCTGCGGTGTTTCTAAAGGAGGCAGGTTCACTAGGTTCGCCATTGAAGTGCATTGGAATGTGTATTGGATCTATGACGAATAGCCCCGAGACGCTTGTAACTCCAATTCGTTCGCTTTTAGAAGCGATATCGGAGGGCCAGGAAACCACGTACTCACTACTGACATCATTTGACATCCCTGTACCCGAGGTGTCAGAGGGATAAATACGTGTGAAGTACGTGTGATAGTAATAACAATTGGTGGTGTGAAAGGAGCTCAGCGTTATCAATGATATACAAACAAGAAATTACTCTTCATTATTTATGTAAACATGCTACTAAATGCTACTCTTGTCACATATGATAGATTGGAGTGAATAAGTAAAGCCATAACAAACTGACGTATTATCTTTAGGCAAAATCAGACATGGCGATTGGCAGTCAGCATACACAAGTAATGTATCAATCAGATGCTTGGGTGGCCAGGTTTGATACCGATCAGTAAATAAAAACGCGTAATGCACATTAACGCATGCAAAGCAATGCTCCTTTGAAGTATCCGGCCAGTAGTTTCTGAGAAAAAAGTCCGGAAACCATTTTTCGGAAAAAAATCAAACATAATCTTGGATATGAATGTAACTTCGTGTTTCAAACATTTTTCTCACTGATTTGATTGCATTCTAAAACATTTTAATATAAATGTCTATTTTATGTCAGGCATTTGTAAAGTCCGTTAAAATAAAGTCGAGATTTCAGAGCAACTATTAACCGTTACCGTTCGAGTATTTATAGAAATCAAACCAAACAACGAAAAGAAACCATCACCATTATTTTCTGCTAAGTCCATAGCTGTTACAGAATCTCCAGTCTATCTCGACATGACCAGAATTTCATATTCAGTTACATATGTACGTGCCCTCTAGCTGATGTGATAGAAGTGCAAATACCACGAACGACTGCTTACAAGCTTAGGTGAACAGTAAGTAACACATACTGCTATGAGTTATGTCATATTTACTTGCTTTTGTTACCAAAACCTATAGTATACTTATATAATACCTATGTAATAATCATGTGTGTAAAGATATACTTACATTAATCAAATATTATAAATATGAAAACATAAACATTGAAACTTACATAAACACTGTTCACTAGACAGTTTACTACATGTGTATACATTAGGATGTATACGGCTTTCTGTATTATCATATATAATACTGGAAGAGGGAGTATCAACAGTGACACATATCCAAGTAATACATATCTAATAATCATGTGTGTAAAGATATACTTACATTAATCAAATATTATAAATATGAAAACATAAACATTGAAACTTACATAAACACTGTTCACTAAAAAAAATACTATATACATACAAATGTATACAGCTTTCTGTATTATCATACACATATCCAAGTAATACATATCTAATAATCATGTGTGTGAAGATATACTTACATTAATCAAATATTATAAATATGAAAACATAAACATTGAAACTTACATAAACACTGTTCACTAAAAGGTTTACTATATACATACAAATGTATACAGCTTTCTGTATTATCATATATAATACTGGAAGAGGGAGTATCAACAGTGACACATATTCAAGTAAAACATATCTAATAATCATGTGTGTACAGATATACATTTATCAAATATTATAAATATGACTACATACACAGTGATATTCATATAAACACTTTTTACTAGAAAGTTTACTATACACATACAAATGTATATACAATGTAGCTGTCTGTATAATTATATTTTATACTGGAAGAGGGAGTATCAACAGTGACACATATCTAATAATGATGTGTGTAAAGATATTCTTAAATTTATCAAATATCATAAATATGACTACATAACATACAAATGTATACAACTGTCTGTATTATTATATTTAATACTGGAAGAGGGAGTTTCAACAGTGAGACAAATCCAAGTAATACATATCTAATAATCATGTGTGTAAAGATATACTTACATATATCAAATATAATAAATATGACTACTTAAACAGTGAAACTTATAGAAACTCTTCTACTAGAAAGTTTACTATATACATACAAATGTATACAGCTGTCTGTATTATTGTATTTAATATTGGAAGAGGGAGTATCAACAGTGACACATATCCAAGTAATACATATCTAATAATCATGTGTGTAAAGATATACTTACATTTATCAAATATAATAAATATGACTACATAAACAGTGTAACTTATATAAACACTATTTACTAGAGAGTTTACTATATATATACAAATGTATACAGCTGTCTGTATTATTATACTTAATACTGGAAGAGGGAGTATCAACAGTGATACATATCCAAGTAATCATGTGTGTAAAGATATACTTACATTTATGAAATATTATAAATATGACATAATAAACAGTGTCACTTATATACGCACATACACATATTAGTATACAACTGTCAATATTATTATCTCTTTCACATTTTAATTCATAATGAATAAATTCGAACAATAAAATGAATTAGCTTAGTAATGCACTACCAGATAATCTTAATGACCCGTATAGAGGGCTATAGCTAATCCTTCAAAATTATCTTAAGTAAAACTACAAGATCTGCCATATCTACATTTATTATTCCATCATGGATCCCATACCGTGAAATTTATATATATATATGTCTATGTTAATTGAATGTTTAGTACTTTTTTGTTTGTGTTTGTTGCCGTATATACATATCCATACATGTAACTCTTATGCATGTTTATGTACATTTGTCTTTGATACAAGAATGAAATGTTTAAATATTAAGATGTAAGTTCCCTTTCCGCGATAATTGGCCATGGCTAAAGATTCTAAATCAACATCCATAATGCATGGACGCAGCATCGAGAACAGGAACAACTACTTATACAAGGCACTGATCCACCCCTATGCCATCTGATATTTACCTTCATATATACATGTATATAAACCTTATTTAATAATGCAGAATTAAATGGATATATAATAATTGGCAATTCTTTTGAGTGAGTGAGGGAGTGTGTGTGTATGAGTGAGTGCCAGTTTGTGTAGGAGTATACGTGTGAGTAGTTATATATTTTTTGTCATGTAACCAAATAATAAGTTAGATTTGTTTTGTATATTTTGTATATTCTGTTGTGTGGTCAGTTGTTGCCCCCTGTCAATGGAACCGTTGGTGGTCAGTGTGATATATGGGGACGAGGCCGTTACATTTGTCTACCATGTACCATGCTGGCCATCTGTGGATTCACGGAGGGGGACAGATACTGACTACGGAATCACTACATTGGGAATAGAATGATAATGGCGTCGAGCTCCACGTGGTGACCAAGAATCAACTTGCCAACTATAAATCTCCTGTTATATCTTGCATCCTATGTTCTTCATCAAGCAATCCATCTGCATTCTCAAGTAGATTTATTCTCTTGTTGAAAGTCCAATTATATGTGAATGAAATCCTTCTTAAAGTTAAAATCCTGAACCACGGCATTTAAAATAATAATAATCACGGTAACAGCGATGCTTTACTTATCTGTATCAGAATCCACCTCTGTGGGGTAAGGGAGAGAAATCCAATTACGCATATACGACTTAAATAACTTTAATTAACGGGTCACTGCGTGGTAGCTCTGGCCGATGACTTTTGTCCTAGATGTAGATTTTTTTTTAAAAATCATTTCACAATAAATATATTATAATATACATTGTCCATACAATAGGAGAGGGCTTGTATAGGCATTACGCCTGTTGCCCAATTCTTGTATTTGTATAAGATGCAATTGTTTCCTGACACATTCCATTTCCCTCTGAGGAATTTAACTCGTTTTTGTAAATGATAAAACTATGTTATTTCAGTAGTACTTATTGTACATTGTGATAGAAAGATTTAATGTAAACTAGTGTTTTTTAAAATTTGATGTTTCATCTACTTTGTTTCGATGTGTCATATATATACCAGCTATATTTTTTTAAATGATTTCTATGACATATCGGTTATATGGGAAGCGGGACGGCTGTAAGACGCAATAGGTAACACGCAAACTCTCTAAGTTCGATACAAATATTTGTTTTCAGGGTTATACATTCGCTTTATTATCATTCAACAGCAAATCTGGGTATCGCTGGTATGAACTGTCGTTTTATCAAAATAATATAAGTATTATTGCTTTCTAAACGGGATTTATTCTTCAAAAAATACCAATGTTTGCTTTGTCTAAAGTACAAACCAGTAACCAGCTGTGATACGTAAGTAGCAATCATCTGAATGACGCTTTATTCTACGCGTATTAGCAATATAATTTGTCATAATTGAGAGATTAGATAGCAGCAAGAAGTAAATGTTGTGCATGTGTGTACAGTACAGATATAAGGGGTCTATATTTAGGAAACCCGGATTATACGACTCCATTCTGTTAAAGCTGATAGCCTTTTTTGTAGAGGTAGAGTGACGTTTACCTGAACTGAGAGAGGTCGAAATAACTGCGAATATTTGTTCAAAAATTACAATAGTTTGAAGCCACAATGTTTACATACAAAGCGTCAAGAGATGGTCCGTTCGAGTGTATGATAGACAGATAATTAGATAATTGCATGGTCGTAAAAGATTCCCCTTCCAAATCCCCCCCCCCCCCTCCAGCTACTTTTGACTGCAGACTGACCTTTTTATTGGCCCTGTCATGCTAACAATTCTACAGCTTCTTTTGGCTTGACCCTCTAACCCTCCTCTAATCAGTTGGCCAATGATTAACTGTGATGAATTCTTTGTTTTTCCTAGGCCACAAATCATATAAAAACATGCATATAATATTAGCTTTCGTTCCCGCTTTAACTTCCATATCATGTGTAAAATGTAAAAAATTAGAACAACGATGCGAAGTTATATTTCTGTGAAAAGAAAAGTAATTAAATAAACAATAAAATTAACTTCGCATCGTGACCTAATATTGCTGTTTTTGTAAAATTTTAAATTACCTATTGTGATTTTGAACACAAGTTGAACATCTTATACTAAGATCTTGTCCTTGTGCCCTTATCTAAACAGGTCCAACATAATTCTAAATTTGTTTCCTTTGATATTGTTAGTGTATGCGATGGTTACTATAGTTGTCCTTACATATGCAACCTTGGTGTTTAGATACCCAAAAAAACTCTTTGTTCTAAGAGTGAAACAAAATTTGAGGGAAAACCATATTGACTTGATCAGAAACAATTTTTAAGGTTTCTTGATGATAGTTTGTTATATAGCCTTCTGATGAGGATTAAATTAATTTCAAAATTGATATGCAGCCATCTTGAATTTCGGTCGTTAAAGTTTGTTAGTCTATTTCTCAGAAGGAACTGAATAGATATTTTTCAATTCCACTTCAACAAAGATGGCCGACAATGGCAATCTTGAATGTTGTTCATCTGTCATTGACAGCACTTCTAATTATGTGAGAATTACACATTTTCAAAAGTTTGCATATAGTTATGCAATTCGTATAAAACAACATTTGTCTTAGTTGCAATTAACGTTTGTCATTGGGAGATTTAAAATAATTTAAATGAATTACATCCGCTAGGATTTCCAACATGGGATTTGGTAATAGTACATGTTAGGAAAATAAAGAGCAACGAAGGTAAAAGATCATCTTTTGTAAAAATGAAAAAGATCCGTCAATGGTTGGCGCCAAAATCCTGCAAGGATCTCTTGTTCAAGTTAATTTTGTAAAAGATAGTGGACAGACGACAATGAACAGTAGACAGAGACGACACCAATACTTTTGTATTATTTTCGCAAATAAAAATATAAATCATTCACAAATGTTTTTTTTTATGTATATATTGTACAGCCCACAGCTTTTGCGTTCAAAAGCAATAAGCGTATTCCGGAAATATTTGTCCGGTGTACGATGCATGTTTATAGATATCCACTTTACTATATAATTTTTGTTAATAATAAAATTTGAATAGCTTGTTTTCTAATTATATCAGAAAGCCGTACACACGACCTGTGCATTTATGTTGACAGTGTTGAGTAATATATACGTAAGAGATTAACTTAAAACAGGTTTGCTAAAAACTGTGCAAAAGGCAGCTGATACAATCTAAAACCGGCACTGTGATGAATTCACCGAAAGATGTGAACAAAATATATAAACTACACGTCCTTAAATGACATTAGTTGTTGATAGGACGTTGAACCCTGTTAAAACCAACCAACTACACATACAAAGACAGCTTAGAGCCTGTTCATATGTACATTATTTGGGAATACACACAAGGGTAAGTTATGAAAGTATATAACGATAGATAATAACCAAATTTCTTCACTTTTGTATCAAATACAGAGGCAACACAATCCAATGATAAATCGGAATGTTGATCTTCCATTATATGTGTCCTCTGCATTGCTTTCAAAATTAACAGCTTCCTATTGAACACTATTTTATGACGGAGAAGATTATCACAATTATAAATGAAAGGATTCTTCTTTTTGTAAATGCCTCGGAAACAATATATAAAGTATCACATATCTTGCCCAACTACCGAACGTTCCTTCATCAAAGGAAATTATTTTGCTCTGTTCCCACTGGAAAGCATAACTGAAGTTTAGGAAAATGTGTAAGTAAAGAACAATTTCATTTACCCCAGCAATGCTGTCAAATGGAGAGAAAAAATGGTTCAATATTGTGCATGCAACCTTAGGCCAGTCTTTCTAATAAAATCATAAAAAAAACTGCCACAAAATTAAAATATATAGCATTACACAGAAAAATAGTTTCGTGATAAATTAATGGGTATTAAGATTCATTGGAAGAGTTTCCCCTGGATTGCTGTTCAAACCGAGGGCAGAGCAAAATAACTAGAATCCTTCGTATTAAACTTTTAATAAGCATTATATAATACATTTCAGGACGCACACACTTGTAGGTTATATTAAGACAGTAATACAGAAGCAGGTTTTTCGAAGCATGGTTAACTTATAGCATCAATAACGCATTTGTTTTTAAATATTACTTAATATCAATGTCTTTATATTTACAAGTATTATTCTTATCTCTTCTCTTCAAAAGATTATTTTTAATAAATAAAGATGCAAATTTACTCATGATGTTTCATCTTTTGGAGAGAAAAAAATGAATTATATGCTTGTGTAAAATTGTCGTAAAGGTGATCAGGCTTTGACGATTGAGCCTAGGCTAGTATGATTGTGGATGTTAATTGTTTGTAGGGAGTAAAATAGCTTCCTGTTAATTCGCATCGAGATCAGATTTGAATGTAAAATATATCAGTATTCATTCATAAAAACTTAACAATTAATGGTTATAACTTTAATTTGGGATTGAAATCATCGCAAATATGCCATTTGAAGTACAACAGCGAAGAGTTTTATCCGCAAAAATGAGGTGATTTAACATTATATCATAAAATACGTTACCGTCTCTATGCACAATGTCAGTCGTTATAGATATGTATGCTAAGGCATGTTATTGTTGGTGGTGTCATGTACATGTATCTTCCAAAACGACAAAAAAGTGCATTAAAAACTATGATTATAAATGGTGATTTTGACGTTGAAAATTAATCATCTTACCACATATACTTACATGTAACTGATGACTCATTTAACAAGATCCTTTGACCACGAGGTTATCTGGTAACCATACATAGTGAATATAAAAATATTTAAAAGTCTAAAGAAATATGACCTTCCGAAGGTCTGGTCATATTATTGTTCAACTCCAAGTACGGGTTGGCAGTAGAACTCTTGTTGTTATCATCTAGCCTTAATTTAACTGTCACTAGGGACCGTTATCACTTCATTTAATGACACGGCCCAGCACAGCCGAAATATATATTGGTGTTAATAAAAGACATTCTTTATTGAGAATAAATACATGTTTAGTCATGGGCTAATCTTCCGCATATTTATCTTAGGGTTACACATCATGGTACACCACCTTTCTGTATTGTTTATATACTTCAAGTGAAAGTAGGAAGTGGACTATCTACAAATAAATGTCAACTTCATTTAACTATTTTTGCTATTTGCAGCGTTATAATTTGGATTTATTGAAATCTAAGCTATCACACAACCTTATTTAACCAGTGCAAGGTGTTGCCACCGTATGTAACATATTTGGCAACTACAAGATATCTCGACCAGAAGGATCAACCGTAATCTGGACATACAAGTCATTAGAATGCAGTTTCAATTCCTCTTATTGAGTGTGCAATAGAACAAAGTTCAAACATGGATCATTTATAATTACACGAGCTTGTAGTAGTATCATAATCCGACTGGCTGGTCAGATACGTAACACCCTGGTAAGGCTTTACTGAAGGACTGGAGGGCAATATTAATTCAACAATGCGATTGACAATGAGCTCTAGCCCGGACAGAAGACTTGTGTTTAGTAGGGCAAACGGATTAAGATATCAAGTGCTGGTAATTAGATAGGCCTAGATACCGGTACATCAAATTAGTTTTATTTTTGGTTTTTGTTTTGATTAACGTCTTATCAACAGCTAAGATAGTTTAAGTACGTGCCTCCGTGTGTGTTGTGTATGCGTGTGTGTGTGTGTGTGTGTGTGTGTGTGTGTGTGTGTGTGTGTGTGTGTGTGTGTGTGAGCAGTAGAGACAGTGTTTTTGGTCCTTATGTGTGTAAGGTCATATCTTTACTCTCATATCTCGCATCGTCAGGTATTTGCAATAATACAAACATCAGATCTAGAATTACAACATCACACCCTCTATTAAAACATCACACTTTAAATATATCATTCAACATGAAAAATATTCCCATCACGTACTATTTCATCACTGGGTCTTATTCACAGAGCAGGGATGTTACGGTAATAGGGCTGCACACAATATCATCGGTGACCCTTCAGTGGGAGACGCAATATTAATCAACGATACAGAACACAGGTACATTGTATACATAGGAAAATTATTAAACGGCCTTATTCTCGAAATTCACAAGTGAACAAGGTAAACTCAACTGTAAGTTTATCAGAAAATTCGATCAAAACATTTCGGTACAATTTTGACGCTACCCATGGCTATATTTTGTATACGAGTTTTACGATTCAAGGGAGACAACTGTTACACAAATTGATGAAATATCCAGGATGTTTACAGAGGGCAACTCGTAACAGGTCACAACAGGATGACAACGGAAACATGTTGTATGATACAGGAAGTTCACAAACTACATGCCGCCTGACCAGTATGTGCCATATAGAAAGGTATGTCCTTCACGCTATAATATTTTTATATTAAAACAACATTTTGATCTTAAATCTTTGTTAGAAACGCGATTTGTCAAATAAAGACTTCTGCACCAATTGTGCTGCAGTTCCTACACAATATAAATCATTATATTCAGGAATAGAATAATATAGGTTAAGTATATGCTTTGTAATGATACTGTTTATAAGAAATATATATATTAGTTTCAGTTTAGGTTATCCAATTAGATGAATTATTTCATTATTTATTATATATATATTTCTATGTTAAGTATATACTAACCGAAAGTAGTTCGCTAATATCTGTCTTATTATTTTGTTATTATGTGTTATGCGTCCTCATATTGATCTCAATGTAATTGTTATAACATTACCCAATTGCCTTTTCGCGTTTTTCATGATTATCATCATATTTATATATAAAACGAAAGTAGTTTCTAATTAGAACGGATTCGAGTGAACTTTGTTACCCCTGGGTATGTGTATCATATGTGTCCTAATCACCTAACATTCTTTAAATAGCCACAATGCACTGCGATCGATAGCCAAGGGGTGTAATCAACCTAGGGGTTTAAAACGTTCAAGGCATGTGTATGTGTGTAGAGGCAGGGTATGTTGTTGTGATATTCGTTGTGTTGACATATTCACAATATTTGTAATAAAGTAATAGCACTATACGATTGAATACAAGCTGCGACAGGCTTACACAATACAAAGCAATTCAATATAGTAACAACAACATTTAAGAAACTGTCTAATATTTTAAGCGCAGGATAAATGGACATATCTTAATATGATTTTTTACCTAGAAATACATAATTTCTGATTTCATTTATTTTATAGATATCTTGCTAGATTTTTAATTACTCTTCTGTACTCGTATGAAATACTTTCTGCATTTGTTCCCATTATTGGTGTGATGAAGTATTTCCTATATAAAAATAGTGCTATTTCAGACTGTAGCTGGCATTCTATGACAAAACAGTATTTGACTTCAATTTGAGTAATACAACAGTGCATTTCTGGACGTATGATGTTAGGTGTTTCCGCTTATACATAAAGTAAATGTGATACATGCGAGTCAGTATAACGTTTTTGAAACGTTTAATACAAATTATGTAGAGTTATTTCTTGTAACCGAATTCGTCATAACATCTAGCTTTGGGCGGCTCGTTAATTACCCCGTGTCACATCTATATATGGTTTATCCTACCCGTCTCTAAAACAACACTTAAAACATCAATATCACCAGCTTCCTGTTCAACATTCCTGTGAACATTTTGTTTTAAGAAATTAACAGAGGATGTCGTCAAGTACATCATATACATGTTCCGATGATATATAACTAAACGTTTGTAAATAATTCAATTAGAAACAAATATTTTGAACTCTTGATAAGGTTAATTGAGCTTTAGAAAAAGACCCACATGGTGGGAAAAGATTTGATATAAATTGTCATATAGGTTTCTTAAACTTTAAATGATATAGCTATTCGAATTGGGGATTTAAATAAATAACGTATTGCTTCCACATTCATTAAATACGTATGTGTATTATTTGTCAAACGTGCTGTGCTACACTGAATTGCAATACTAAAATATGATCCCTTCATAAATATATCTCGATTGCATGCATGATGATTAAAACTGAAATAGGTGAATTCAACGTTGCCATGACATTACATTACACATATGAATCATGAATTGACGAAATTAGTATATAGTGCAGCATTTCTTTTTACTCAATATGAGTTCTGCATTGACCTGCTAAAATTGTAAATAGTTCTCCTTACTTCTTGCTTTTAATGATTATATAACGACACAGCTTGGGTTTACTCTTCCGCTCTACTACGACTTTCCGAGGTAACCTCGTAGAATGTATCCTGGCACTGTTATAAGTAAATATTGCTTTAAAAAATCATTATCAGTTGTCGCCAAAAGAGTGTTAATGTGGTTACCTTTCCTCTTTCATTGAATTTTTACACGTTTTTGTACACGTCATATTTTAATAATAATTTCTTTGATCGTTAGTACTACTTAGTAATCCGAAAGTGACGAAATGGTCTTATGGTGCAGTAAATAATTACTCTATTCGGCTTCTGCATCGATTAAATATCAAATAAACAAAACACAGAAAAGGGTTACTACATTAGTTTGTGTTTCGATTGCTTATTTTAAATCTAAAAAGACTGCTAATACAAAGAAATATGCTTAACTGTGAAAAAGAAACATAACAAAACCACGGAAGATATATGTACGAAGGTCCTTTCCCTGCTAATTGTTACTTTTTTGAATTCCACTGAACACTGGGAAATAATTGAACGAATTTTATATTATAGAACCACCTGCAGTGATCTCAATTGCTGATGATGGCTCGGCGCGACGGCACATATTTGGTCGTTGCGGCCATTGATTTTGGTACAACGTATTCTGGTTACGCCTATTCCTTCAGAGATGACTTTGTGAAGGATCCACTTAAAATTCTCACCAACGCACAGTGGATAGACGACGAAACCAACTTAGTTACTTTCAAAGGTAAACTTAAATAGTAATCTACCTGGTATGTATTTGTTTGTGTCGATCGACCTATTTCGGTTTTTCCTGGAAGTTGTATTATTGGTGATACTAGTTGCCCTGTAATACACGAACTGTTAAATCTGTAAAATTGTTGAAATTTTGAGAACTAAGACTATTGAATTGTTACACATTTGTGCAAGATATTTGATAAAGCCATTTATAGGAATGTTAACATTTTGATGAAAAGTAAATGGATCAATTTTAGTTTATGTATTGTTATTTGGAAATGGGATCAAAGAAGGCCGCCGTGACCAAGTTAAATAGTTTTCTTTTTTTAAGTATGTGCTACTATTTTACTAGACATAAATTTGCAGAAAACCTCAACAGTGATTGACTTGCTATCCATAACCGTTTGATATCCAAACACTGAGTGTACTTGTTACACAGAGTTAAATCCGGTCTTTTGCAATTAAAGATTACTTATGACATTATTTATCTGTTTTGCATATGACCTGATATATTAACCTGGGATATAGACGCCCTGTACGCCACTAAACAGTCTTTTTCTTCATCCAACAGCCATGTCGCGGCTCGAGAAAAGACCAATTGCATGATCGTGAGGGGCGACAAATGTGGGAACCCCCTGCACAATTATGGATTTGCATTTGTGCCCTTTACTTCGGGACAAGAAGGCGACCAAAATAAATCTGTTGCACCCATTGCAATATTTCTTTCTACTTCTAACTATTATCATTTTCCTAGCGCCTTGCTTGGCAACACCTCACCTTTGTCTTTAATGTTGAACGTTCGCCCAAATGGGGAAGGAAATGGGTTCTGTCCCCAGGCCGCGACATACCAAAGTCCTTAAAAATTGTAGTTATCATTCCCTGCTAAACGTTCAACATTACAAAGAATGTCAAAAACTGGTTCACTGGTTGTCAGTATAATGTGACTGGGCGGAATGCTCTGCTGGGTGCCTTTGGCATGGTGTTTCAGTTAGATAGCACAACAAAGTCGGCATCAAATCCACGCTATCAAAGGTTTCAATAACACCAACAAACCCTGCCTCCAGCACACATACACACATTCACGCATACACAGCACACAAAGAGAGACGTCCTTGAATAACCGTAGCTGTTAATATGACGTTTAACAATATCAAACAAAAGCCCTTCTTCAGCCAACTGTGTTTCATGTTTTTATATAATTTTACTTCAAACGATCAGGACAAAATCACATTCAATGATCTCTTTTCTCTTTTCAAGGAGTTGAAAAAGGTTTTTAATTTCGTCAATATGGACATATTAAATGCTGGTGCTGAATATTCTATAATTTGTTTTTAATTTTGTAATACTTCTAAGTCCTCTCTTTATTTGAAGCTCCAACATCGGTCTTGTTTGACAAGGACAGGAAATTCTCTTCATTTGGATTTAGCGCCGAAACGAATTACAACAGACTCGTAGACGATGAAGAAGACGAAGACTGGCGTTTCTTCAGACGATTCAAAATGAGTCTTTATCGTGAGATGAAAGAAGCAAATGAGGCGGCAGAGGTAAATACACCACTGATATTTACTTCAATATGGATTGCAACAAGGATAAGTTGGAGACATCTGGACGAGAATTCAACATTATTTTCCCCACTCCTTCATATTGCCCGAACATCTCAAAATATCTCATTTTTTCTATTCTAGGAAATAAAGTGTGCAGATTGCCCGCTCTGTTAAATTGCCCATTCGGTTAAATTGCTTGCACATCTTAAAATATCATTATCAAGGAAAAGTCATTTTCTTTTATAGACTAAGGGGATACTCTTACTGTATTTAACTGTCGCATGATTCCGTTTCACTGGTTCCGGAGGCAGTAAAATGGATGTTTTATTTGACTATGATATACAGCCGGGTTGTCCCCATTATATTTTAAAATCAGCTTAACATCCCTAAATAAACGACGATTAAAAGATGTTTCTGTATGTTGTCTACACAATCTGTGTCTCTATGTAGTGGATTGATTTGTGACGTCAGGAACATTCAAAGTGAGGCGGATTAACATTGAACTCTCGGGATAATACTATTTCATGACGTGTCTGGGTCATTGACGACATTTACAATCGCCAGCCGGGCCTCATATGCAAATGAGAAATTGGGAGACGGTATATCGTGGTTATACCGTCACCAAATATTGCGTTTAACCAATCAAACGCCGTGTAACATCTCAAATGAAGAAGAATATATATTTTGTGCTCGCAATTACAAGGTGTAATGTTCTGATTATTCATATTTCAGTTGGCACGTCACCGCAGACGGTTAGGTCGGAGTCTGAAACTAAAAGACGCACACGGTAATAGTATGGCTGCAATGGATATCTTTAGTGATGCGATACGTTATCTCAAAGACCACTTCCTCACGACTCTGAATAATTCCGTTAAAGGCACGAGTGAGGATGACGTTCACTGGATTTTGACCGTGCCGGCGATCTGGTCAGATGCAGCGAAACAGTTCATGCGAGAAGCTGCAGAACAGGTATGCCCTGTGATTGTCGCTATACTTGTGTGGACATATATTTAATACGTTATAAGTTTTGAATTATCTACCTTTTCTGAAAAGAATTGATTTTTTTAAAATCGTATTTAAAAGCATTCTTGAAGTAATAGTATTTTACTGTGACGTGTACTTACTGTATTTAAAGGACAAACAAAATAAAAATTATGAACACTTGTCGACAGCAGAATAAAATAATGAATTGTATTCGGTTCGATTTCAGGCCGGTATCCTCAAACACCAGCTAACTTTGGCATTGGAACCGGAAGCTGCAGCTATCTACTGCAAGGAAATCGCAGTAAAGACATCAAAAGAGCACGGAAGTTCTAAAGACTTATCAGCGTTCACGCCAGGGGAGCAGTTTCTTCTTCTGGATATTGGAGGTAAAAAATGTTACAGCATTTTCTAAACATTTTCGTCATGTTGGTAAGTATGGACTGTGAAAAGATTCATGTAGCACAACCAATATGTTTTTATATGTGACGTTTCGATGATAAGTACGGTATGGACCCTGTCCCCTACATCAGACAAATTACCAGTGAAGCGTATGTACAACGTTACAGCCTGCCTTGTATGAGAATTAAAGAGGGAAAGATACAGATGCGAAATGTTTCAATGTCGGTAGCAGATCAAATTTGGTTCATTTGAGGTTCCCTAAGCACAAGAAATAGAAGGGAAAACCCCGATTATGCAGGGGGACCAACATTATTCACAGCAGGTAACTCATATCGAGTGGTAAACAGCAGGCCTATTTCAAAATGATCTTTTTTATTTATAGGTGGTACAGTGGACATCACCTGCCATGAAGTCATAAATGACGGCACATTGAAGGAAAAACATCCCCCTACTGGAGGGCCGTGGGGTGGAACCGTTGTGGACGAAGCTTACTTCGGCTTCTTACAAGATTTAGTGGGGCAGGAGGCATGGAAAGACTTCACTAAGAACAACCCAGCAGACAAACTTGAACTTGAAAGAATGTTTGAAATGAAGAAGAGGAATTTGAAAAAGAATGATGACACTATTATCAGAGTTGGAATGAACTTCTTGCAAAGCTACAATAATGTATGTAAATGTACCCTTGCAAAGACTCTTTCTGAGAAGAAAACCATATATTCTACTACAGTGGAAGTTAAGAAAGAAAAGTTAAAAATTCAAAACAGTCAGATAATGGAATTTTTTGAAGGCCCAATGAATGCAATTGTTGAACATCTCGAACGGCTTTTCGCGAGGAAATCGTTGGTTCGTGTGAATACTATCCTAATGGTTGGAGGGTTTTCCGAATTAGATCAAATGAAAGAAAAAATAGAGTCATCTTTCCCCGGAAAGGATGTAATTCGTCCAGTGGAGGCCAATTTGGCCGTCCTGAAGGGTGCAGTGATGTTCGGGCACTCGCCACAGGCAATATGTGAGCGGGCCAGCCCAAGGACATATGGCATCAGCACTAGTGTGCCATATAATGACAGAATACATCCCAAAAAACTTTACTTTGTCAGTGATGGAAACGATATGGCCACCGACATTTTCCAGGTAATGGTGAGAGCTGGTCAGCCAGTCATCATGGGCAAAACGAAGGTGGAACACATATGTCATCCCGCGCATGGTTATGACACCGAAGCTACGGTGGAAGTGTACGAGTCCACAGCGGAATCTCCCGCGTATACCTGCGATTCAAGTTGTCGTCGGTTAGGAGAATTACGTGTACAAATCCCAGACACATCCCGCGGCAAAGCACGGAGGATCGTGGTAGCATTACATTTCGGATTCACCGAACTGAAAGTCACCGCAACTGAAGAAGGTACCAACCACAAGGCGGAAGCTAAGTTTGACTGTCTGAGTACCAAATCATAGCATGCTAGCGGTTTGATGTCGCTATTTCACGACAAAGCAATTGTATGTGTGTCATATGTTCATACAAAGATGCATTTCATGTGATTTTTATTTTGCATCCATACAAAAAAGGGAGAAAACCTTGTATCATCGGTATAGTTTTTTATTTGTGTAGAGCTAATACGGATCTTTGAACTGTGCAATACACTCAGAAAAGCACTACGGACATACAATGAACATGTATATAACATATGGGGGGGGGGGGAAAATACACACGTTGAAGCATCCAGTGCAAAAACTATACCAGGCTTAGCTGTTTCTTTGATACTGAAAGAGTTACATTTTATGGAACGGAAACATTAATTGACACTGATAAAAGCCAAACGAATAACATTATTGGAGAGGTAAATGAAGTATACTACGAAAAACATTCGAACAGCTCTGACATAAGGTGATGCAATATTATTTTAATTCAAATCTAATATTCCGGTGGGTATGTTAAACACCTTTAGTATTTAAGTTTGTTCAAGTTATCTTTCAAGTGTTTGACAAAAACATGTAAAAAATATTGCCCTTTACTTCTGGAAAAGATTGCAGACAACTTGATTATTCTGCGATAGTACGTGCAGTCACTTTGTTATAGTTTGTCTAGTATTTTGTTCAAATTAAAGGATTATTAAATGCATAGTGATTGTGATAAAATTGATAGTTTATTTGTATTTATCTAAATATTGTAATCACTGATCTACTTTGAGATACAAGTTCCCCAAATAGATGTAACAGCCACCAGTCAGCAGTGAAATGATAATTTCTATTATGTCTGTGACATAAAAGTTGTAATGGCGTCGTTCACACCACAGCTGAGTCTGCACTGTACCCTGACATGATGAAAAAAATCAGGAGGCGGTACTTTAAAAAGGGGATAATTACTAATGGACGACATTTCGGGGTTTTATTACTCACTAATAGATGTTATTCTCACCGGCAGAATTCCCAACGATATTAAAACTCAGAAAAAAGCGTATAAGGTGATGTTATGGTATTCTTTGCCTGGAATACAAAGGAAAAGCATTATAACAAAGGGCAACGTTGGAAAATTGTTGATGAATATTATTGTAACAGAATATCAAAAATCATCTGATTGCATTTAAAATATATAACAACTTTTCGCAAAACGCATAACGCTGTGACTCTTACGAACGGTTTTCAGATAACTGAAAAATACATATCTGTAATGGCAGGCGTAATTCAGAGGATATGTACCATAGGACTGTTTTGGGTGCATTAATCTTGGGTATTTTTGTCTTGTTTATATTGCGCAGAAAGTTTCAAAAAGCAAATGTGGACTTTTTGTTCAATATGCTGTTGTGTAGTTTGACTAGGGTTTTAAAGCATTGGAGTATTCCTAAACACATTTTCAAAAACTGATTTATTTTCAAATGAAAGTTTTATTTGTGAATTAGGATTAAAGAATTTCGTACTATTTTCCGTTAAAGGAGGTATACAATTTCATCAATAAGAAAAATGAAAAAGGTTGATTGGAACATTTTTTCATCATAAAAGCGTTTCTGATTTGTTGAATATTAAATTGTACCATTTCCCGTTAAAGGAGGTATACAATTTTATCAATAAGAGAAAAGAAATAGGTTGATCGGAACATTTTTTTTTATCATAAAAGCGTTTCTGATGTGTTGAATATTAAAAATAGACATATATGTTTATCAATGAAAGTATTTCATATACTGTGATTTGAATTCAATTTTTACCAAAGATGACATGTTTTGTATTGTAAATTTGTTTCTCAATGAATTGTTACTTTACAACGTTATTTTGTAAGGGTAACTGCCATATTAATTGTATCAATTCAGTGATGCAGACCGTAAAACACCTAAAGGTGACATGTTCTACATGGATACGGCACTTTACAAATAATCCGTAATTATTATGTTATAGTGATCTACATCTGATTAGACATGCTACAAGATACAAAATAATAATATATATATATTCAGGTTTGTTAAACTAAAAATGTATGAAACAAAGTCTGAGATTCTCTCAAAGAACTGTTTACATGTAACAAATCATCTGTTGAGATGATTGGACGCAGCTACACAAGATCTTTTAAGTATCGCTAATATAAGTGTGTTTTTTTCTGAAACAACAGAACACAGAATAAGTTCATAATATTATTTAACTTGATTTGCATATCATCGTTTTCCAGCAAAAGATCCAAAAATTTAATATTAACTGATATTGTTTTTTTATATAAGTGTTACAATAATGTAATTATTAAATAAAAATAAATTATGTTCGCAATATGTTTTTTTTTTACTTTGAAAAAAGAAAACTAGTCTCATAGCTCAATGGCATAATTAAAACTGTTTTAACATTACTTTGAAAGGTGACAATGCTTATCAGTTGCACCAAATGATATCAAGGCATATCTAGGGTGAATGGCGATCATCACACATGTATCGGCACCTTTTAACAGATTCTCTAGAGGGTCTAGTTTATAATTACAACATCTATGTGGCCGGGCAAATACAGTATTCATCTCGGATTTTATCAGAAAACAATTTTATACCAAAGATTAATATAAAAACTACAGAAGATCACTGATAATCAATTCCATATATGATCGGGGAAAGAATAGGCCTGCAGTACCCCAGCATTGCACGATCATAAGAGGCGCCTAATGAGGAGCCTCTAACAGTATCGGGCGGTTTCTTCCTTATCTTCTATTAAGAGGACATTGAAAAAAATCCTGAATAGACCTGCTGTAGTCCATGGGTGTGTATGTCATTCAATGAACGTAAAGGGCCAAATCGACAATTGGTCAATTACATTATATTAATCGATATTACAACAGCTTAATTTGCACATGTTTCACTAAAGTCAAATTATTCAAATATCACACAAAGGTCGCTGAAGGTCACTAAATGTCATAATATGTATAAAGGTGACATGCTCTGTACATCCTAAACCAAATCAAAGTTATACCAAATGTCAATATATTTGTCACCAAGGGTCATAGGTTTTACAATTGATATCAATCAGTATGAACAACATTTCTTTTGCGCTTGCTATTCGATAGCAAAATACAACAATGTTTTGATTTCTTGTTATTCTTTCCACAAGCAGAAATAGCTATATAAACATTACAACGACTCGGGGGAAAAAAATAAAATAGACATTAGTAAAGTAAAATACAATTTGCTTCTGAATCTATTCCAATACAGAGGATCAATTTGGTCATAGAGCCGACCATACGGTAATCGATTGCAGCCGAACACACGGTATGCTTGGTATTTGTATCATGGTATATTTTTTATTATAATTAGTATAAAATATAAACCACGCAAGAACACTTTTCCGCATATAAGTATTGAACAGTGTGTTGGCAATATTGGTCATCGTACACATCACAACTATTATTGTGCAAATTTTCCAGGTCCATTGCATTTTTACAATGCAAGAAATCAACTACTTTTTAAGATTGTCCCCTGAGACAACTCATCGCGAAAGCGAAAGTACAACATAGTAACCGTGAAACACCTCAAAACATTAATCATTGTGTATTGATTACATACATGATATACAATATTGGGAAAGATTAAACACATATTACAGGCAGTATAGAGGGTTCCTCGTGAACGGTAACAACAGGAAGACACCTGCAGTCTGCTGTATGATATAGGGGGATCACAGTCTTCATGTCGCTTGCCCAGTATGTGTGACAATAGTCGGAAGGTATGTCAGTCACAAAGTAGTATTTATGGTGTATAATATAGGGGGATCACAGTCTTCATGTCTCTTGCCCAGTATGTGTGACAATAGTCGGAAGGTATATCAGTCACAAAGTAGTATGTATGGTGTATGATAAAGCATTGTTAATATATGGTCGTTATTAGAAATCTAACTTGCTAAACAATACGGACTTCTTGACACAAATCTTTATTCACATATGGAATAAGATATATATATAAGTTTTATATATATTTTGTAATGATACTAATAATAGGTTATACTTAAATGGGTTAGAGTTTTTAACATCCCGTTAGATAAATGATTTCATTTTGATTTCAATTTTATGTTTATACAAACGATAGTAGTTAGCTACCACCTTCCATTATGATGTTTTGTGTAGCTATCCTTTATGCTTAACCATATAAGGTATCGGTAAAACTGTTATAACATGCCCACTATTTTTTCGTGTTTTATAATCATTATCATAATATTTATACATAAACCGAAAGTAATTACTAGTACATGGAGTAGAGTGAATTTTGTAACCACCTTTCTCGTGTATTACTTTTTTACACAATGTATGTAGATATGTGTATTATAAATTACCTATTCATTTAACATTTTTTAAATAGTTACAATGCACAGTCATCGATAGATCAGAAGCATATTTGAACTAGGTATTTAAAATGTTATTGCATGTTTGATCAATTTGATCGATAAATCTTTATTTGTCCCCACAGACATTACCGTCTAACTCTTTATATAGCAGATATTTACAATAATTTACAATTCAAGTTGTAAAACAGTTGTACACAATGATTCATGACAAGTAACAACAGATTACATCAATGCATAGTTATTTCATAGGGTAACAGCAATATTCAAAAAGTGTTAAACAGTTGTAAACGAAAGATACATGGACCTATTTGATGTCATTTTAATTCAAGTAATACTTAATTTCTGATTTCGTATAATTTATAATTAAACATTGCTAGGGTTTATATTATTATTTTGTTCTCATATGATCTAAAAAATAATATTTTGTTTGCCAAATTAAGTATTTCCGGTAAATAAAATGACATTATCTTAGAGTATAACGTGCATTCCATAACGAAATGTTACTTGTCTTTAATTAGAGCAAATGCTATACCGCAGAGAACGTTTGGAGGTATGAGATTAAGGCTATGTCATCTTCCAGCTTTAACATGTAATGACACTTCAAGACTAGTTAAGCATTGGTTTTTATATTATCTATATCAGAATACTTCTTTATCTGAATTCGTTTCAAAGCTGTACATACTATCTGGCTCTGGGCGGCTCGACAAATACTCTGTGCCAAAAAGCCTTTAATAGCTTATTTTATTGAAGCGAATTGGCAAAATAAATGGTCTGAAGAAAGAAACAATAAGTTATTTTCAGTTCAACCTAATGTAGGTTCATGTGCAAAAGGTAGAGCAGACCGTAGAGAGGAAGTTGCCCTTTCGCGACTACGCACGGACCATACCTACATCA